ACATGGAATAATTCAGGATTATTCTGAAAGTTACTTACGAACATTTGTTTTAATTCCATAAGTTGATAATTCTATAACTCGATGATCCCTTCAATATTGAGCTATGAAGAGTTGACTGTATTATGCGTTCTGATAGATTTTCTTTTGTAGCTTTTGAACTAAACTATCGCACCAAACGTAGGATTGATTCGCTAACGTCAAAATCACTGATATACCGTGCGGGACCGAAATCCGTACACCTAAGCACGAGAGAATCATTTACGGTCAATACTAAATAATGCTATCACATTATGCTCTGTATCACATCTTTTTCCTTTACATTTATCTTTATTTTTCCAATATTTGCAAACACCAGGTCTTAAAATTACCTTCAATTATTAGAAAAAAGGATTTAAATTGCACATATCTTGAATCAAAATCCGTACAGCGTTTTACGATTGAATCAAAATCCGTACAGTTTTGAATCGAAATCCGTACACTGTGTTGAGGATGAATCAAAATCCGTACAGTCATGAATCAAAATCCGTACATGAATGTAAATCGATCCAAATCAATGAAAAAATAACGTGTTGCTATCTTGAATAAAGTATTTTTTTTGTAGTTGCTTGGCTAAGAGTCCAAAACAGCTATATTCGTTTAAATACACTAGTTTACAGCATATTTGAACTTTGTACGCTGATGGTCATTTCCCATGTAAAATCGTGCGCTGAATCCAAAAATATAGTCAAAAAAAATCTCGGTAGGATAGTTTTGAAGATATAGGGGTAAGAGAGGCATAGTGAACAGGTGGGGCATAGTGAGCATCGCGTGTGCTCCAGCTTGTACTTTCGGCCGTTCAGAACAAATTTGTTGGCTGTAGGATCAATATCTTAATGATATTGATCCTACTACCAGTTGATTTGTTTCATGCAGTTGGAGATCCAGAGCCAAAGTACGGGATGCTCACTATGCCCCGCCTGTTCACTATGCCCCTCCTTCCCCTAGCTAAAAAATGAAATCTCACGTTAAAAAAAAACTAAAACACAAATATCTCTGGCTGCAATGAAGTGATATTATTTATTTTAACGCCAAATTAAACGTGATAAATTTTTTTTTCGATCGTTATAACACTATTTTTCCGTGAGAGTAATGGTAGAACCACCATAAACATTTTAATTAACATTGCTTAAAAACTTAGCAGAAATTCAATTTTTCTTAGGAAAACTTTTTTTTTTTTTTCCTTGGTTTGTTTTCCGTCGATCTTGTTTTCCGTGCTGAGCACCAATGCTACCGACGCCAGGAAGGCAGCTCCCACACCTGGACCCTACCTATCGACCCATCAACTCATGAACCGGGGACCAACGGCTTTACTTCCCATCCGAAGGAAGGCGTGATCAGAGATGTTATGCCTCAGAACATCCCGGCGGCGCCGACTGGGATTGAACCCAGGCCTGCTGGGGTGAGAGGTAATCACGCTTACCACTACACCACCGGCGCCGCTGTTAGGAAAACTTAAAACAACAAACTATTAACTAACAACAATACCATCAATCTCACTGACAATTGATGTTCAATTGATCGAACGAAAAAAATTCTTACCTCTAATTTAGCGTTAAAATAATTGATATAATCTCATTACAACCGGAGATATTTGTATTATAGTAATCAAACTTGTTTAAAGTGAATTTTCATTTTTAGCTGTATCTCAAAAACTATCCTACTGTCATTTTTTTTCGACTACATTGTTGAATTTAGTGCACGATTTTACATAAGAATCATTCTTCAAAGGTTCAAGTTCATTTTTTTTACTTTTAATTTTTTAACTAATGATATCAGCGTTAGATTAATTGATGCTCCAATCGATTCAAAGGAGAGGTAAGTGAATTCTTTTTATTTAAGAAGGTAACTGTTCTGGAGTTTATGCTAACTAATATCATGTTTAAGGATTAATTTCTTCCAAATTTTATTCTTTACCAGTGCTTTGGGTTAAATATTTTTACTGGAGTTTTCCTCCGATCAAAACTTCGAGGTTTTTGAAATTTGACATGTGATAACGTGCAAGATGCGCCATACTTTGGAACTCCATCAACCCACTGGCATCAAGCGATAAATTAACCGGTTCCTAAGATGGTAGCCCTATAATGGCGGATAAGTAAAAGAAAAATACAACCATCTTAGAAACCAACAAAAAAAGACAATGAACTGACGTCAAGGATTAGTTTTTCGTTTTGTGCATGAAAATTAAAATTGGTAAAATAACGACTATAACTTAATTTAATTTGATACGTCAAGAGAGTAATAATCATAAAAATACAGATCTTTCATTGCTTCTTTTCCACAGCTTTCTTCTGCTTCTTCTCCATTGTTACCATTGCCTTTTCATGTTATAATGCTTTCTTGCTTCCAAGCCTAATAAAAATAACCATAATAGAGAGCTTAACGACGTGTTCGGGGTATCATCCAAACCATTTGTGGGAAAGTTTACCCATCCGGGATAAAGTTCGTTCATGGTATTCGTTTATTAGGGAACTTTCTTTGCTCTTCTTCCTTTTCTTCCTCCTCTTCCTCTCTCGCTCAACCTTTTTCTTTTGTCGTTCCTCAATCCTTTGTTTCTTTGCGTTCTCTTTATCAATTTTCGCCCGCACTACTTTCATGTGTATTTCCGGTCATTCCTCGCTGGTAGCTTGGAATGCTCTCTGGCCCATTTCTGTCTGCTCTCTGTAAGGGAGCATCCAAAAATGACGTAGCATATTTTTGATCAATTTTATACTTCTCCCCCTCCCTCGTAGCGTATTTGGCTATATCCAATACATGGCCGGTCACAAATTCTGAAACCCTCACCTCCCCCTTCAAATGCTACGTCATTTATGCATGGTCCCTAATTTGTATATGCGTGTTGGTGATATCCTGTAGGGGAGCTGCGTTGTTTTACTTTTCTCCTGGTTCTTGACGCTCTTCCTTAAAAAGATATTAATAATATAACATTTACAATACGAATAAAATAAGAGAGTAGCGATTCAATACGGCATCTCTTATGGTGGTGAATTGAACGGCAAAATCCCTGGATGCTTCTCGGTAAGATTTCTCCGCACGCATCATTGCCACAGTCTTCTCAAAATCCTCCGGCGTGTATTTAGTTTCCATGATCTGCTGAAAAACCTTCGATAAAGTAGAATCGTCATTAGTGATGCACAAGTGTACGGATTTAGAATCAGCTGTTATATATGGATCGAAATCCGTACAGTACTAATTTTGATAAATAAATACCATATGAACGATCCATTGCTTAGAATTGAGATATAAAACGATAAACACTTACCTTTCCGATCGACCTTCAGGAAACTACTTGCAAAAATCACTTAAATACGCTTAACAACTGGAAGTAAATCCGAGACATTTTCTTAGAAAATCGTTAAGAGCGCAACCGATTGACAGAAATGCCCGACACGTGATAAGGTTTTTATTTTTCTTATTTTAATTGCATGTTATACTGCTTAATTGTTGAAGTAAACATCAAGCTGATGCATGAATGAACATGAATATGTATTCATGTATAATATTTACATTGTTATGATGCATATAAATAAACAAATTCAACAGGGTGTACGGATTTCGGTGCTGTACGGATTTCGGTCCCGCACGGTATTTCCAGAACAACATGTGAAAAGGGCATACAAGCTTTTTGTAAACAAACCTTTGTAGGCCCTTTTCTCACCAACCGAGGGTCGCCCACGCAAACCAGCAATATCATCGGGAAGGGGAAAGTGTCCCCTACCCGGTGATGTTGAAGGTTTGCGTTGGTGTCATATGGGTGGCGAGAAAAGGGCATAAGAAGGTTTGTTTACAAAAAGCTTGTATGCCCTTTTCACATGTTGTTCTGGATTTGTTGTTTCTGGTCGATATGACGAAATTGCTAGCTGTGGTTCATTTTCGTGACAAATGTTACTTGTAATTAAAGGTAAAGGGAGAGAGATTTGAATTAAAGTATGCTAAGTTGAATGTTATATATGTAGTAGGGGATATGGCTCTAATGTTGGCCTATAGATCTAAGATAGGGCCCATCGCTAAAAGTCAGCTATTTATCAATTTTATCTAGATGAACGCGCCATTGGGACGGTACAAATGGATATTTTTGGTCGCTATTGAAAATTTAGTTGATTGCTGAATTTATATATGGGCCCAAATTAGGGGCATTTAAGCCGACATTACATCAATTGTTCCTATATCTGGAATATACTGATATCAAAAAATCATGCAACCGTTCAATCGTTATGACCAATTTTAAAAGTGACAGTTATTCCCAATCACCCTGTAAATGTCAATGAAATGTATGTCGTGGAGAAGTTTCTAGGAAAACCTCTTTGCCTTGTCGCCCTTGGCTGGGTCATTTTTTCCACCTCATCACAGCCGTGTAGTCGCAGTAGTTTCCGTAATGCCCTTTTTTATTATCCTAGAAAACACACCGTAGAGTAGTATAAGCTCCAAGGAGCGCGATATGAAAACCCTTGTTCTAATCTAAAATCAATCAGAACTTAATACGAGTCCCCAACCAACAAGCAGATTCTGCAAATACTGGTCACCCTAGTCAAACGGAAAATGCAAAAACAAAAACTTCGAATTTATGCTCCATTCAAAAAGTAAACCTTCACCAAGGAGTGGCTCTTAACTGTTTATGAATGAAATCCCAATAGTGTGAGAAAACCTTGTACCATTTTTCATCGCATTCGCGACTGTCAAAACTTCGCGTCATCGCATGCAGATTTTCCGATGCTGCTCGCTGTCAAAATAAACCGCTTATGCATTCACGCGCGACGCATAAGTGCATCCCGGTTTTTTTTTCATTCCATCTCCGTCTCTCTCACGCAAGCAGAGCGACGGACGTCCGTTCAATGGAAAAGAGAGTGTGTGTTGTAAATAGTTCAGTGCATCTTTCGCAGTCACGGAACAACACTACACCGTACGGATTTCGATAGCTGTGTTGGTGACTACACTGTGCACTGTCTGCACAGAGTGAGTGGAAATAAAAGAAGCTAGTATAGTGCGAATTGATTGGTGAGTGAGCCGTGAATGTACAAGATATTTTCGCCTTTGTGTCAATCGACCGACTTTGAGTCTTGTCGTGTGTGTCTACTAGCAAAGAGAGCAGTGGCCAATATTTTCCTCGCAATTGTCCATCGAGTCACTCTTTTGCCAATGTATCCAATAGCTTCGCCAGGATAGAGAGCAGAAAAACACGTCTCACGTCGTCGGGCGAACTAAAAGTACCTACGGCAAGCTAAACGGATTGAAAATTTTCAGAAGGGCAGTATAATCCATTGGATTCGTGTGCTGTGGCGTACATGTAACATGTACTACGTGCAGAGTGAGAAGCAGTGAAAAGTAATAAAATTCCTCGAAGAGAACAGAAAAAAAGCGCAGTACCATTGGATCGATTTTTCCGACTGGCTGCAGCGGATTTCCGACCGAACCAGAATGAATATTGCATAATAAGCGACGAGAAGGAGTTTTGCAAGCAAATTACCTGGCGACGAAAATCAGCAGCAGAAGGAAAAACGAAACTGCAGAAAGGCGAGTGGAAAAAGTGGATTCGGTTTTCTTTTTCTTCGACCCCAAAGTGGACAAGGTGAGGTGGAATCTTTTATCGAATCATATATCTTGTGGAGAAGGTGTGTGCGCGCGGTATGCGGCGAGGAAACAAACAAGAAGAGGGATTTGGCCCGTAGTGAGCTTGCGGCGAAAATCTGCCATCTAATTGTGTATGGTGATGTCGTTTTCAAACTCACACTCGCTCAGCAATGTTTTGTCGTCTTCTTGTTTGCTTCTATCGCTGTGCAAGACGGGAGCTGCTGTACGGTGATCGCATCTCATTTGGGGTGAGGGAATTTGCTCACTTGCTCATATTTTGATTGTGTTGGAATCTTCACTTCTCACGGGAATCTCATCGTGAGACGTAAATATGCACCGTTGCCAGCTATATTGTTTCTCTTGTGTTGAATAAATGCCATCATACTGTCAGTAATATTGATTGTGGAAGGACAAATGTAAATATGTAATATGAATACATGAATACGACAGCTTTTGACTAAATTATGCCAATATTTCTCTGATTATTTCGGTTATCAATTAGTTGACGTTTATATCAGACATTTCTGAACCTCAAGTTGGTTGTTCCGTACTATTGAGACTTTTGCATTGTTTGACCTAACGTGTCTAATGCTCCAACGGAAATTTGAAGAAACATGCTGAAAACTATCGAAAGCGGGAACAGGGCTATGCCAGTCATTTATTTGCCTTCTGATCCCACAAGGGAATATCCCCGTGTTTTTTAAACGGAATTATATTCAAATTGGACTCTTTTGAGCCCCTCCTGACTATACGCATCTGCTTTGTCTCAGCTCATTTTTGGCATGTTGATTCTGAAAAAAATATTCCCGCTAGAATATTCGGGGATCGTGACATTCCCTTGTCTGCAAGTTTTTTTTGTAATGTTTTTACATATGACAGAAATGGTTTGTAAGACAATAGGAATCGGTTTTTTTTTGTAAAAACTTACAAAAAAAAAAGACTGACTATATGTTTAGTATTACTTCTGCGTGAAGTCAACGATTGACATAGTTGAAGATGCTAATTTCAAATAACAGACTAAAGTGGTAGTTTTTATACAATAGATGAGGAGATGAAAGTATAGAATTGATAGTTCCGTTTAGAGTACGGCAGTGTGAAAATTTCACATAGAAGTAGAAAGCGAGCTAGACAACTTTTAGGAAGGTACAAATCAGTTTTATCATCTATCTTTACCAAACTCCCCTTGTGGAGATGGATGGTGAGGGGTATTTTTAATGCAGATTACGAATATGCATTTACCTCAATACCCTTAAAGAACCCAATTGCAAGACAGCCTATATTACGTGATATATGCTGTAATCTGAACGGGGTATTAATCTATTATTGACAGCTCGCTCCCATACAAAGTCCCACCAGGGGCGCTAAGCTGATGAGTTTTGCTAATGTAATAGAACTTATTTATAATAGTTCTAAACATCGTGAGTCTTGAGATTTGTGCTCTTGAAATTACGAAGTGCGTTCAGTAATAATCAGGGTGTCGACTACCTGCAAAATCAGGGAATTCCATTTATGACCTGGAAACTCAGGGAATTCTTTAAATTATGGGAAATATTTCTCATGTAAGAAAGTGAAACAATGAATTTGTTTAGAAGGCTTTGACTTGATCAATTTAAGTCCCGCGAAAAGTTCTTGGACTAGAAACATTTTTTTAAGATCAAAGACACCGACCATTTCTTCGAGGTTTTGGGACGTATTTCAATTTAAAAATTTCGTACTTAGGTAAATTTTGAAGATTGTGGACTTAGCTTATTTCTGAGATTCTGAATAATTTGATTTTCGAGGAATTTCGGACTTAAACATATTTTTGATATTCTATACCAGAAAGATTTGAGAGGTTTCGTACCCATGACATTTTAAAAAAATTGAATTTAATTTTGGTTAAGACCCCAGTCTTCAAACAAAAACCAAGGTTGCGGATCACTTGAAAACAGCTTAATTAAGATCTTGAAATCTGGAAAAAAAATTCTACAACCCACACTAAAACAAACTTTCAAATCAAGATCATGGTTTGAAATAAAAAACGAAATCACGGGCTTTGAAATATTAAAAAGATTTCAGACATAGCAACATCTCGAGCTTGAAGGAATATTAAAGATTTTTGGAGTTGTAAAAAATTTCAGTATCACAAATTAAGAAGAAAGTTCAACATCCTGAGGTTCTAGAATAAAACATTTTCAGGTGTTAGTTTGCTTGGGTGAACTATCAGTTTCAGTAAATTTACGTTTGAAGGCATTGTTTACAAAATTACTTAAGGGAAGGACTCTTAACTACCCGTTATCAAATAACTATCCCATATGGATATGAAATCAGGCAAAAATATGACTAATACACTGTTATAGGCACTTTATGACGTAGTTGTTAGCGTTCATGCCTCTCATGCTGAAAGTCACGAGCTCAAGTCTCTAGTCACGAATTATCTGAACAGTGTTAAAGTGACTATAAAAACATACTTAGGAATCATGAATAGTGCAATAGCTGACTTTACAGTCTAAAATCTTAATTATGTTTTAAGTACTCGACATTTTTGCAGTCTAGAGAAATCTGAATTTCGAGATTCCCAAGTTTCGAGGAAGATGACTTTATCTGACATGCAGAGAAGATTTTATGTTGCTGTCATGAGATCCGCTCACGCTGAGTAGATAGAAAGAGAGCTATGAAAAATTTCCTGTTTAACGGTGGAGCGTGATGCTATAAACGATTCTTCGTAGATTGATTCGGTAGCACGAGATTTTTTTGGCATCTTAGGATTGAGTTTTAAATGTTAACCCTAAAACGTTTTTTGACATCAGTAGAGTTTCACGTGTCCCCTTCATTCTTTGTAGATGTCGCATCAGCACTCTGATGACTCCAGCACGTGGAGGAGGCGAACAATATTCTCTCTTTATTATTGCTAGTCAGACAGTTAGAGAGAAAAGGGTACATGTTTTTCGGAATAATGAAATCAGTCACATGTTTTACTAGTAAGTTTCAACCTTTTGCCGCCTGAGAGTCGCTATCAGCGATTTTATCAATTATCACTCACTCACTCAGCGATAATAATAAATTTGTGATTCTTAGAATGCAAAAATGACAGGTTATGTTTTTCAACTAGAGGTTGAAAAACAAAACCTGCCATTTTTGCATTCTAAGAATCACAAATTTATTTATTATTATCGCTAAGTGAGTGAGTGATAATTGATAAAATCGCTGATAGCGACTCTCAGGCGGCAAAATTGACAGGCTTAATATATTATGCAACCTCTTCTTAAATCGTACTAGAAAAAATGTGATCTAAAATCTTATATAATTTCATAATTCTGAAAAATATTTGTTTTATCTGGAATGACATGTGTCCTCCCCTCTCGCTGGGGTTGCCAGTGCGCATCAGTAGTGGTTGTTTATCAGGCCGGTGACAAGTCCTTTACTAACAGCTATGTTTGACAGTAGGCAGCATGTCCGGGGCCCAAATCGTTTGATTTGCTGTACTGGGCCCGCTGTCATCGTATACAATCTTGCCTACGGCCTGCCACCGGGCTGTTTTTATAGATCAACTCGGGAATTTTTCTAATTTATTTTGACGCAAACATGTTTAAAAATACATCAGCTTTTATGCAGTGTCTAAAAGAGCTTCATTTTATGAGCGAATACCAAAACATTACCACTATCGGAAAAAGAAGAATCTCGGTTTGCGTGTAACTTTTGTTTACAAACGCTTTTTGTGTCGTTTTCAAATGTTACGCATGTAAGGGAAATGGATGTAAAGTCTACCTAAATGCCCTTAATTTTGGCCCATACAAAAATTCAGCAATCGACTATATTTTCAATAGCGTCCAAAAACATCCGTCCCAATGACGCGTTCATCTAGATAAAATTGATAAATAGCATATTTTTAGCGATGGGCCTAATCTTAGAGCCATTTCCCCTGTGTATTAGATAAACCGTTCTCTTCAAATTCTTCACTGAAAGCTGGCAACTGTGCATCCATGTAGTCCCGACTTTCGAATACCATTTAAACGGTTCACATCTCTGCCGTGACATGGGTGTAGCGAGAATGACAAATGTGAGCGACCATGAGCAGTGAGAAGTATTTTCATTTCCACCAAATGAGAGAGCGAGAGAGCATTTTGCCACCGCGGAGTGTTCGTTTCGTGATTTGCGAGTCTGCACTCTGGATGGCAGCCCCAGAGTGAGTTTCATAGCCGCGACTGATGAAAGACCAGGTGTAAAAGTTGTTCGCATTTTTCATTAATTTGTGTAATTTTTATCGTTCTGTCCATATTTCGGAACTTTTCCGCGCTTGCCTGTGACCAATGGTACCGCGGAACGCACGAAAATAGCCAGTGGATTTCGGAATAGAGGCATATTTTGATCGGAAGCAGAACAACACGACTCATCGCCCGAGCCAGGAGGAGTAGGCTTCCATTTTGCTGCTGCCTTCTCGTCGCGTTTTCTGACAGCTCAGACGGAACGTCAAAAGTTTTGTGCATCCGAAACGGAACGGAGAAGCTGAGAAGTGCTGCTTTCGGAAGGATTTTGCCTTATTGCTAACGACGAGAGAGGATCCGGTACGGAATCGAGCTGGGATTTCTTCCGACTGCGGACGGGGGCTTAAAGTACGTATTCCGCGGTTGCCCACCTCAGTCGCCGGAGGGCTAGGGGCAATTATCTCGACTGTCGCAATCATTTGCCTTCGTTTTTCTGAAAGTTTCTTTTTCTTTTCTTCTTTTTCTTCCACCTTTTTCATCATCTCTGTGTCTGTGTTAAAACCCAATAATTCCTTTTTCCTCGTGTGATCGCGGCTGCTGAAAACGAAAATAACCTGAAATTGTGCATCGCGAAAAAATAAAAACACGCACACCAATAAAAACAACAACAAAAAATGTCGAACGATGACGGAACCGAAACGTTGTAAATATAATTCCAGCGCCGCTATGGATTACGACAAGAACGTCGAAGCAATGGATACGCAAGACGATAACGAGCTGGATCCCCCGAATGTACAGAACTCCACTCCAGCGGTGGTAAACAATCCGGCTAACGGTGGTATAGGAGGAGCGGTCGCCGGTCCGGAACAGATGAGCATGGATGATCAGGACAATCTGGACGACGAGGTTCGCTCGGAAGCGACCTTTAGTTTTAAGGTAGAGAATTTGAGCAGACTCAATGACTCGATCCTTTCCCCGCCGTACCATGTTCGGAACCTGCCCTGGAAGATCATGGCCATGAAGCGAACCAACGATAGTACGTCCCCGCCTAGCAAAGGACTTGGTTTCTTCCTGCAGTGCAACGGGGAGAGCGACAGTACGAACTGGAGCTGCTTTGCCTCGGCCGAACTACGATTGCTGTCGGTCATCCCCGGACGGGATGCATTCGTGCGGAAGATTCGTCACACGTTTAGCCGGATCGAAAATGATTGGGGCTTCTCGTTCTTCATGAACTGGCACGATATTCTCAACCCGGAGAACGGGTACATCCAGAACGATGCCATCACGTTGGAGGTGCACGTGACAGCCGAGCCCCCTCGCGGTATCTTCTGGGATTCGAAGAAACATACCGGCTACGTGGGCCTAAAGAACCAAGGAGCGACGTGCTACATGAATTCGCTGCTTCAAACGCTCTACTTTACGAACCAACTGCGAAAAGCAGTCTATAAAATGCCAACCGAAGCCGACGATGATTGCAAATCGGTTGCCTTGGCCTTGCAGCGCGTGTTTCACGATCTGCAAACTCAAAGCAAGCCCGTCGGAACCAAGAAGCTCACGAAAAGCTTCGGTTGGGATGCGCTCGATTCGTTCATGCAACATGACGTCCAGGAGTTTCTGCGGGTCCTGCTCGACAAGCTGGAAAACAAAATGAAAGGAACCAGTCTCGAGGGAACCATCCCGAAGCTTTTCGAGGGCAAAATGATCTCCTACATCAAATGCCAAAACGTCGACTATACCAGCCGCCGAACGGAAACCTTTTACGACATTCAGCTCAACATCAAGGGCAAGAAGAATATCAACGAATCGTTCAAGGATTACATTGCCACGGAAATCCTGGACGATGACAACAAGTACGACGCTGGCGAGCACGGTTTGCAGAAAGCCGAAAAGGGAATCTTGTTCAGTAAGTTTCCCCCTGTCCTGCATCTGCACCTGATGCGGTTCCAGTACGATCCAATCACGGACAGTTCGGTGAAGTTTAACGACCGCTTCGAGTTCGACGAGAAAATCAATCTGGATCCGTTCCTGGAGAAACCGGAAGATACGTCCGCGACGTACATCCTGCACGCCGTGTTGGTTCACTCGGGTGATAATCACGGTGGGCACTATGTGGTGTACATCAATCCGAAAAACGACGGCAAGTGGTGCAAGTTCGATGACGACGTGGTTTCCCGGTGCACCCGGAACGAAGCCATCGAGCAGAACTACGGCGGGCACGATAACGACCTGAACATCCGGCACAGCAGCAATGCGTACATGTTGGTGTACGTGCGCGAATCGGTCATCCACGAGGTGCTGGAGGAGGTGAGTGCGAAAGTTTACTGGTTTTTTTTGTTGTTGTGTTTATGCATTTCTAAGTGTGATTACCGAAGAAGGATATTCGATTTCTTGTGAAAGACGTTGCAATGAATTTTATCTTGTTTACTGGAGCATTATTTTGGTTCGTGATGAAGGTTTTGATTTTGTTTTCATGAGGCAGATTATGGTGGAGTTGGCGCATCAATTTTGACTGTTAACCATTTGAGGCAGTGGGAACTATATTTGCAACAACAATCAATATTTTCTTCTGGTCACTCATAATATGTTAATTTTCTGGTCAAATACGGCATACATGCTTTTGTAAACAAACAGATCAAACTATACCAAATTGTAGAGAAATCCTCTACCTGATTGTGATGTTAGATTCCGAGATTGAGAATCACGCATCAGCTCGGATTTGTGTCAATAATCGACCGTTTGTTATCAGAAAAAAATAAACTGTTGTAACTATTTTCGTACTGAACGAATTGGTAAAATTACTTCAAATAAAAGATTCATGTTTTATAATAAATGCGCTAAATTTTAGCTCATTTGGGTCCTTGTTCTTAAAAATATAGCAGTTTGAAAAATGCTGATCTAAAAAGATAAGATTTACTAAAATAGCTTAAACTTCCGACAGACTCAATAAATCAAACCCAAAACTAAAAAGATAAATCTTGAATATTTGATCAAGCAGCAGTCACGATTTCAGGAATCAGACCTCTTAATCTTTACTTGCATAGAAATTTCCCGACTTTTTTTTAATATAGAGTTTCGTGTGTTTGTCACATAATATAAAACTACAGCAAAAAAAGTTTTAACTTGCAATTCTAATCAGTGATGGCATAATCCTCACTCAAATGATTTTGTTTCGCTCTCAAGGGCTCCCAATATCACGCATGATATTGGAATAAAATATCAAGCATGATATTGTTTTTACAAGCTCCTTTGATATTGCGAGACTATTCAGAACATGTAAAATTGCAGCCACGAGTTGACTTACCACAAAAATGATTCCTTTGCACATCGTTTTCTTAAGAGATGAACTAGCCTCAGGCTAAAAATCTCTAAAATAAAGGAAAAAAAAAAAAAAAAAAAAAAACATCGTTTTCTTAGAAAGAGAAAGCATAGTTTGCTATCTTTCTTTCACAGATGGCAGACACGAAGTTACTGCTGCCAGCAGTGATGGAAGTTTCGTTTCGTGTTCGGATGTACAGCAAAAATCTTGAAGCTCAAACTCAACACAGTTTGGTGAGAATTGTAGCCGGGGAGTTTTGTTAGCATGATATCATAGCAACCGTATCACAGCTTGTAATATCATCGGCTGTTGTTTGCGTGTTGAGTTTTTGGTTTACGATACTCAAATGAGATTATGCACATTGGTGAGATAAGATCTTTTGATATTTTCACAACACTGATTCTAATAATTCACAACCATGCCGGGAAGTTTTAGTTCGTATGTAAAAGTCATTAGGGGAAAGAGCGAGATAAGGCGCTATAACCTTGGCATTAAATCTGGGTTGAGTTTGAAGTGGGCGAAACGACCGTTTGAGGGCAGTGGCTTTTGACGCGGGTTTCTTTGAATTTAGATGGTGCCCACGTGGACTGTCGGGGCCTTTCGATAAAGAAAGTTTGCTCTATCAGATGCTGGTGTTATATTTCGTGGGTGTGTTTTTGATGGTTGAAGGGTTTGCGTTTGGAGCTGTCGTCTACGGATGGTGGTTCCGCTTGTTTCAAATGTTAACCCAGAAATAGCCTGGCCTTTGGTTCAAATGCCAAAAGTTCATCCAAAGACACCCGGAGCATAAATCAAATTGTATAGCAATTATGCTCCCAACGAAAACATATAAATACTATTATTCAATTGTAACTGGAAGCGTTTGGTACGGGAGGTCCACGCTTTCTTCCTTTGTTTCTTCAGGTTGTGGAGTGGTTTCAGATATTCATTTCTGACATCACTTGACTCCTTGAAATCCTCTTTGCGGCACATGCTGCGCAGTTGGCCTGGCCGTTGACAAGAAAAATGACGGATTCGTGAAGCCGTCATTTTCCAGGATGCTTTCAAAGTATTGGCTGCGTTAGTGTGAGATTAGATTAGATTAGATTAGAGTATGTAAAAGTCATTAGGGGAAAATTGTCCTCGTTGAAACAATTGCCAGTGTATTCTATGGGAAAGATTCATCGCTTAACATTAGTAATGATTTTATAAAATTGCACCATAATCATTTTTTTTGTTTATTAATTTATTTGATAAGGCTCAACCGAATTAACTTTACAGAGCCGAGGATTCTTGGTCACTATACAATACATCTTAAAACTATAGTCAAAAGGTACAACACAATAAACACTTTATCTTCCCCTATCCAAAAAGCCTCCTCCATCAGAACTGGAGCCGCTTCCAGTGGTTTCATTGTATGGCACAGTGTTGGGAAAATATCAAAAAATCTCAAAATCAACAAGCAAACAACTGCGGTTGTTGTTGAAAGCTGTGATATCGCAGCTCAGAATATCAAGCTAACAAAACTCACCAACTGCAAATCTCACCAAACTGTGGTGAGGTTGAGTTTAATGATTTTTGTTTTACATCCGAATGCAACAGAAACTTCCATAATAGCTTGCAGCAGTCCCTTCGCGTCTGCCATCGGTTAAGATTAAAAAGAAATAGCAAACTATGCTTTCTCTTTCTAAGAAAACTATGTGCAATGGAATCATTTTTGTGTCGAGTCAACTCTCAGCTTGATTTTTGCACGTTGTGAATAGTCTCGCAATATCAAAGGAGCTTGTAAAATCAATATCAAGCATGATATTTTGTTCCAATATCACGCGTGATATTGCGAGCGCATGAGAGCGGAAACATATCAATTGATGTCTGATTTTGCTAGCACTGGTATGGCAGTTACGCCATCGTGGGGCAAACAAGGGGGGGAGGTGGCTGTCAAATACGAACAATCGTCGCCTACCTCGCATAACTGGTTCCAAACGTAAACAAGCCATAAGAAACCTACAGGGTTTGTTTACGTTTTGAACCAATTTCATACAAGAATGATCAGTATGCTGATTTGACAGCACGTCCCACCCCAGGGGGCAAAGCGCTTCCATTGCAGCAATGGACGCAAAACTATAGTCGCTATATTCATAGTCTGGCGGATAGAATTTCGATCTATCAAAAAACGGAACCATTTCAATATATTGTAGACCAACAATTGAAGAGGTACTATCAACTTTTATAAACAAAACGTTGATTATTCTTTCCTCGCCAATCGAAGGTAAATTAGCAGCATCATCGGATAGAGGAAATTTTCCACAACCTAAAGATGGCGTTAGTTTGTGTAGGTGATCCTTTAGTCACGAGAAAACGGTTTCCGAAATTTTGTTCGTAATAGCTGATGTGCTCTTTTCTGTTGTTGGTCGTGATTTGCTCTATTGGTTCCACTATTTGACAGCTCAATTGGTTCCCGAGATTCTATCCGCCAGACTATGAATATAGCGACTATACGCAAAACGTGGTCGACACTCACACACTCATCACGAAACGGTTGCTTTCCAAAGTCGACGACGCATCGACCGAAAGAACTGCTGATGAAGAACAATGAGGCGGACCACACAATGGTTGCTGTCGAGAAAACAGACGATCGCGTGGCACACATCGAGAGTGGCCTGCTTTTGTCGACAGCCGAGTGAACACTGACCATAATTATTATACACAATAAAAAAAGAAACAAATGTAGCTTTTTTAACACGCTTATGATCGAGAATGATTTTTTTTTTAGTTGACAGACTCTAGATACTCATTCTGAAGACACTTGTACAAACTTTATTCAAATGTCGTCGTATCAGATCTCAAAACAACCTGTGTTATCATTTCTTTCCTGGACTTTGAAAAATATCACCTAGGGATACTAGACCAGACCTGCCCAACCTTTCTAAACATGATTTTTTTTTAATTGCTGTATCTTTGATCGATAAACATGTTTCAAGATGCAATTTGTTTATTCATTCTGAGCTAAAATTCAAAATGATGAATAAAATTGGGCTAGCATAATATCATTGCTGAGATCCAGAGACCACGTCCGACCAGTGGGCCGCACGTTGGGCAGCGCTGTTCGGAACATTTTCCACATTCTGTGACTTTTGATATCCTGAATTTGAAAAAATACTTAAAATATAATACATCGAGATCCCGGATTTGAAGAAAACATCCGGGTATAGAAAAAATAAAAATAATAATCTTCTAAAATCCAAACCAAAATTTGATATTAGGACTTGAGAAAATGATGCCCGAATTTGTACAAATTTTCAATATTCGAAAGCATTAAATGTTAACAAATTTTTAACCCACCAAGATCCCAAGTTTGTTTATTTGCTTATTTGGTTCTACATCAACAGACTAGGTTTAGTCCTAATGATGGGTTAAGCAATACTAGGAAATACAATTTAGTCAAGAAGTAACAAGCTGCAAAGGCCGTGAAGAGCAACTTAATTCCTAATTCTTAAAAATATATCACGGAATCTCTGACGCAGCGTCTAGTGTGCCAAGTGAAAATCAAATAAGGAAGCAACACGATTGAAAACCCTTTGTAGCCCATTGATAGCACCATTACGAACTATAGTTTTTAGGACGAAAAGGTATCCTCAGCATTGCGTTGTTACGGATTTCTCGTGGTTGAACGTTAACGTCGATTTATTGTAGAATAGAAGGACAATCGATTCTGCCCTGTAGAATTTCTGCCACAAACAGGGCCCTTGTCGTATCTCTTCGACTCCACAAAGGATCCAGGTGAATTAACTGGCACCGACTTCCGTAGCTTGGAAGGCGATGAGGATCCCTCCAAGGCAATCGTCGAAGGGCAAACCAGATGAATCGTCGTTGAATAGACTCTACTCTTTGTACACTGTTTTGGTAATTGGGATTCCATACAGGGCAGCAGTATTCTAACGCCGACCGGACGAGGGAGCAGTAAAGCGACTTCAAACAGTAGATGTCCGTGAAACTTTTAGTTATCCTGAAAATGAAGCCGAGCGTTCTGAATGCCTCACGTGCGAGATATGCAGGCTGACTCCCAGATCCTTAATGTGATTCACACGATGTACGTCAACGCCTTCTAGGATATAACTGAATGTAATTGGATGATTACTGAACATTTTGTTGGTTCAGTTGGCACCAATTAGCAAAAGCGTTGAGTTGGAGTTGGAGAAGGTGGCAGTCAGCGATGGTTCGGATTCGGAGATAGATTTTCATGTCGTCTGCGAACGACAGTCGTGGACCGTCGAGGACGAAATTGACGTCGTGGAAATACACAAGAAATATCAACGGGCCGAGGTGGCTACCTTGCGGAATACCCGAAGTGGCAGGGAACGAAGGAGATCGGCAGTCGTCGGTTGTAACTTCCAACTGACGATCAGATAGATAGGATACGATGCGAACCATCGTAGGAGACTGCCGTGTATACCGAGCCTATCCAGTTTGACGAACGCTATAGGATGGCTGATAGGTCAGTGTAGATGACATCTGTTTGCATATGGTCTGTCATACTCTCCGTAATGTACGAGGTGAGACACAGAAGGTTGGAAGTAGTCGACCGCCGTGCCATGAAACCATGCTGGTCTTCGCTCAAGTGCTGCTTGAATTGAGAGCCTAATGGTTCCATAACGACCAACTCGAACAGTTTAGATATGGCACACGACGATGTGATGCCGCGATAGTTGTCGATGTTTCTTTTGCTTCCCATAGTCGATGGAAAGCCAAACTCCTTTCGTTGCTCATTCACATAATTCCAAAAAGTTTTCGGGTGAGATCGTAGCTTCCGTTGACCATCTCGGTGTGGTACTTGGTGTATTTTCTTGGTGCGGCTCTTTTGGAAGACTTTAACATACGGACATACTTTTAGCTACGGTTGTTCTCATTAACTACGTGGTTGATTTGCTTCAGAGTGGCGGTACTGTAATGATCCAAAAGGCTTACAGCTCCAGAGTGAAATGTAGAACGGTCGTTGTCCGGATACAGGAATCCACCGTAAGATGATCGCCAAGAAATTGCCGGTAGATTGAAGTCGCCAATGATTATCATCTCGTCAGCAGCTGTAGCGATCTCTATTATAGCTCGAGTAGACTGACTGTGGGATTCAATTAGCGTAGAGTCGCGAGTTCGATCCGGAGGAAAGTAAACTACACACAAAAACAAAGTGCGGTCAGCGAGCTTAATGGCAATCCAAACTTGTTCCACGCAATTCCATGAATCGTTTTCGTTAAGTGTTGCCTTCAATCCAGAGCCGACCGCTATGAGAACGCCTCCACCAGAAGATTTGCGGCTGTTGTGCGGATTCCGACCGCATTGAAAAATCTCGTATTCGGAACCAAACGCTTGCCGAGCCAAGTCTCAGTGAGAGCGATGACGTCGAAGCAACGATCCGAAACCGCTAAGCGATAATCATCGATGTTGGAATTCATCCGACCAGCGTTCTGGTAATACATGCAGATGGCCTGACTGTGACGATAAGTAGCCTGGTGGGGGCTGCATTACGATCTAAAATTGGCAACGACTTCAGACAGGGGATGTTCCAAGACAGATCTTGAATTATACTCACCTGACTGGGAGATTCGGAAGACCCCCTCTCCGTTTCCGATCGCAGGGCCGGGCCGACTCCGATGAGCGATGTCAGCGGAGGCACGACTGCGTCGGAAGGACTGGGGGCTTCCAAAATACTGTCCACGGTGCGTCTCAGGGTCCAAGATGAAGAAGATGGAAGCGGCTGATGCGGAGTTGATTCCATTTTGATAACACTTTTTTAGATTTAGAAGTTGAATTCTCAAATCGCTTATATTTTTTTTAAATTTAAGCTTGATTGTAGATTTTAGATATTAACCATTTTGCTAAGAGATAGTTGGATCTATTTGATTATTATTAATGAATTCGCCGTACCTATGGGATTTGTTATTGGTTGTTATACTTATTCCCCATAGGGTTTTTGATCTAATTTCCGTCCTACTAAGCACTACCCTTGCCTTTTGACCAGAGAGCGTACTGGGTGTCGTTGTGCCTGATTGATCGAGGCCAGGGAATCCAAACATACAAAGCAACCAACGATACAGACAAAACGGTTACTACGACTACCATGACAAACTCTGTAACTCTGTAACAAAGCTTGATCGGAGTGGTAGAAGGATAATGATATATTGCTTGCCTGCTTTGCTGCAATATACACGGATGAGGACATAGCTTGATCTGAATCGAGAAAAGACATAACAAACAAATTTCCATTGGCGTTGACGGCACCGTCGAAAAATTTGCTCTTCCAGCAAATATAGACAGTTTCTTATGGGAATTTTCGGTGGAGTGAAAGCATAGTACAAAGTCTGCCATGGTTCACGCACAGTCTGACGTTTGCTTATGGATTTTCTCATAGGAGTAAAGAGCTACAGAGTCGTCGTCAATGCCAATTATCACACGTGTACAAGGAATCAAAAATATCTCTAAATGACAAAATGACAAGCGATCAACCAACCGAATGATATCGCTATGTCAGAAGTGGAAAGCAATAATGGAAATCTTCTTAATTCTTTTTCATGACAAGCAGCCCGTGCGACACAGCTCACTCAGGGCGGTAGAAGGAAACGAGCAAATTGTTGGCAAGCTGCTTCACGAAGCAAAGCTGAAGATGATACACGTGTGTTAATGGGATTTTTTTTGTTATATCAGTGTCAACATTTCAAAGGGGCGTAATTGATTTTGTAAACAGTGGCTTTAACCGTTGATTTCTCGCGAATTAAAGCTTACCCCTCCAAATTAAAAATGCTAGCTGGTAGAGAAAATATTCCTCTACTTGTTGGTTTTATTAATTTTCATGTGTGAGCTTTTATTCCCGAGAAATCGACGGCTAAAGCCATTGTTTACAAAAGCAATTACGCCCCTTTGAAATGTTGACACTGATATCTTTTCTCGATTCAGATCGAGCTATGTTCTCTTCCGTGTATATTGCAACAAAGCAGGCAAGCAATGTATCATTCATTATCCTTCTACCACTCCTATCGACCTGTGTTGCAGTGAGAGTTTGTCGTGGTAGTCGTAGCAAGCGTTTTGTCTGTATCGTTGTTTGCTTTATGTGTTGGATTCGCTGCACGTGTATCATCTTCGGCTTTACTTCGTGAAGCAGCTTGCCAACAATTGGCTCGTTTTCTTCTACCGCCTCGAGTGAGCTGTGTCGCACGGGCTGCTTGTCATGAACAAAGGAAGAAGATTACATCATTCTTTCTAGTTCTGCCATAGCGTTATCATTCGGTTCGTTTATCGCTTGTCATTTGAAGATATTTTTGATTCCTTGATCGAGGCCCATTTCGAGAATGCGAGGGTGATTGCAGCTTGCTCAAAAGTGTTGTGCCAGTGAATATTTAATTTTAGATTTTCAAATATGTAATGACATATTTTATGGATAGTTTACGCCGGATAAAATGAAACATTGAACAATGGTATACTTCATGTTATTGATTGAATTCTTCACTTAGCAACCGATGAAACGTTACTAAAATTGAGTTTCCAAGCCTTCCATTCATTTTGGCTAAACAATTGTTTTATGAAATCTTGAAATATTAAGGAATTATGTTGATATTTTGTATGTGTTAAGTAACAAGAAAATATTGTACAGTTTGTTTGACACATAAAACCTGTAAATCTAGCTTTAACAGAGTCACAGTGAGCGATTTTCTGATCGTGGGTGAGCGATTTTCCGAAGCGTGGGTGAGATAAATGACAAAATCGCTTAGGGGAACTAGGGGCAAGAAGGTCACCTGGGGCAAGGCATTTTAGACCTATGGCCTTTTTGCCCCATAAGAGTGGCCCTCTTGACCCATTTTGAAAAAAAAAATCATTACCAATTTTTTTATGGGGTTTATATAAATATTCACCGAACTGCATATAACAACGCACTATCGTTAGGGTGACCTTCAAAATGTAAAGAAAACTGGGGATGGTTCTTCCGCCATAAGGAATACAGGTACTTCGTATATATATATTGTAATTCGTATTCCGGCTTGTAACTGTAACCACGTCCATATATCCTTCTTCGGTACGCCAAACGATCACCCCTACCGTTTCACTAATCAACCTTAACTCCGCAGGTAAAATGTTCCGACATTCCGGAGGAGCTACAGGAGCGCCTGGACGAGCAACGGCGCATCCAGCAGTGCCGCCGAACGGAGCGCACCGAAGCCACCAGCTATATGAACATCAACGTCCTGCTGGAGGACTACATGGAAATCTATCAGAAATCGGACCTCTTCGATCCGGCCACGTCAACGTACCGCAGTTTCAAGGTACGCAAAGCGACCACGATCGCCGAACTGGCCACGTTGTTCTCAAAAACATTCAAAGTGGACCCGGAAAAGATGCGTATGTGGACCGTGACGAAGAACGATTTGAGGATACACAAGTTCACGCTGATCAATCAGAATGCAAATGAACCCTGCAGTAAGAACGCCTATCAAGATCCGAAGAACTCGTGGACCATTTTCCTGGAGGTGGCGGCGCCGGATGCGGATCAACTGCATCCGATCGACGAGAGCGATTTGCTGATATTCTTCAAATCGTACGATCCGATCGAGAAGCGACTGAACTACTGCGGTCATGGGTTCTTCAAGGCGAAGCAGTTTCTGTCGGATCGCAACTTTCAGGAGGAGTGCATCAGACGGGCGCATTTCGAACCGGGAACGGAGATCCAGCTGTACGAAGTGACGGACATCAACAAGGCGACGAAAATTAGGGACTTGTTTGTAATTGATTCGGCGCTGGCGCGGGCTATCAATGGGTCGATTATCATAATCGAGAAGGTGAACCCGGGCGTGGAACATCTGGAGTTTCCGACGTGCGAAGAATATCTGAAGGATTTGTACTGTCGGATCGAGGTGGTATTTGTGGACACGCTGAATCCAAATGACGCCGGATTTACGTTGGACCTGTCATCCGAATCCAATTACGACCAGATAGCGAAGGCGTGCGGACGACGGATTAACGTTAATCCGTATGAAATTCAGTTTTTCAAGTGTAAAAACTTTAGCGATATTCCGGGACAGCCTCTGGCGTATACTTATACGGGCACGTTGAAGGATATTCTAAGCTACACGAAGGCAAAATCGGTGAGGAAGTTGTTCTACCAGAAGTTATCGATTAGTATCAACGAATTGGAAAACAAGAAACAGTTCCGTTGCTTGTATCTGATGCCGAACCTGAAAGAGGAAAAGGAATTAATATTGTATCCAAATAAGAACGGAACCGTGCAGAGTCTCCTTGCCGAGGCAGCCAAAGTGATCGAGTTCAGTGAAAATAGTTCGAAGATCCTGAGAATATCGGAATTGTCCAAGAATCGACTAGCGCCGGGACCGTCCAAGGACACCTCGCTGGATCAACTGCATGACTACACGGACAATACGTTCGTGCAGCGGTCTACCATTAGCAATCAGAAGATGTACCGAATCGAAGAGGTGGCCGAAGACGAGATCAACTTGTCGGAGACCGAGATGCTCGTACCGGTACTGCATTTCACCAAGGATATTGGTAGCATTTTTGGAATCCCCTTCTTCATCCGGACGGTGCACCACGAGACGTTCGCCACGCTCAAGGAGCGCATGAAGAAGAAGCTGAACGTGTCGGACAAGGAGTGGGAAAAGTACAAGCTGGCCATCATCACCGAACACATCGACTACATCGACGACGAGACGATCGAGATTAACTTGGAAATGTTCAAACAGGACCCGAGCGATCCCAATTCGCGAACCTACCTGGGACTGGAACACATCAACAAGAACACCAAGCGAAGCAGGTTCAACTATATGGAAAAGGCGATCAAAATTTACAATTAAATAGGATGCCGTTTGTGTAGATCTTTTTCTCCTGGCTTTGTGTAACAATCACTGATGACGCTGCTTGGTTCCGTTTGTCCCAGAAATACAGAAACAAAATATTCAGGAAAACAAATCGTTCATATTACTGGTGGTTTTGATCCATTTGCACATAGCAATGTGCGTGGGTGTTTGCTTATGGTGATTCGGGAAGTGCTTCTGCAAAATCAAAAGAAGGGAAAGTAAAAGCACCCATCCATGTTGATATATGTTTTAAAAACGCATCGGAATGACCGCTAAGTGGAAGCAGCTGTGCAGTAGAATAAAATTGTCACGTTCCAAGAAAAGAAAAACAAAATCAACCAGTTGAAAAGTGAAAGATAAATGCTGTTATTATTATTTTTATTACGTACCGTTTTTTTATATCGACAAGTTTAAAACAACCATGAAAGGCTTACAAGATTTGTGAGGAATTTAAGGTGAATTAGTAATTATAACGATCGATTCTGGGAACCATGAATGTCCTCAAACTTCCTGCAGTCGATAGTTCAAAATCTGTGAAAAGAGAAGGAACGATGTTTTTATCAAAATAATAGCTTTTACGTTTGATCACCCACAACAACAACAACAACAACATCAACACACTTCAATCATGAATGATGACGCTTGTTTTTCCCCTCTTTAATTTCGACACCCAGGCTAGTAGTGTAGGATTATGAGCTCTTGTTCTAACAAATATTAAAATCTTTCGCTCTACTATGCTCCTAGAAGAGAGAACGAACGAGGGTTAGCCTAGAAACACATTATCATCTGCCGGAAGTGAGAACGAAAAAAAAAAACACTGACAGAGAGAGAAAAAAAAATTAAGGCAAATCGATTATTTATATTTAAATATAAAAAAAAATGAAAAAAGGTTACACAATTAAGACTATAGTTATAAACAAAATGCTGCAACATGCAAGGCAAAAGAAGAACAAAAAAAAACACATTAAGCTCGGCTAGTAAATCCAAGGACACAGAAAAAAATGAATCACTTTTAAATTCTCGCTGGGTAAATCGCTGACTGTGGAAGAAAGCCTGATGATATATTAAAGAAGAAAAGAAAATGGTCAAAACTCATCCTTGAATGTCGCCGGAAGTATAAATCTGTTTTGTTTCATTTTTCCACCACATATTTAAGAGAAGTTTTTGTTTCAAAACTCAGTAATAAAAAAAATCACTTCTTTCCTCTGCCTCTTCGAAAGAAAAAGAAGTAAGCTAACAAAAAGGTCGGTCTTGGAAAGATTGACAAAAGCATGAACGTTTCTAACGACGCGCCAACATGAAAATAAAATGCAGAAAGTGTGGGAAAAGGGGAATCAGTATAATAATAACACAATAAAAAAAGAATTGCTAAACTAAGTTCTTCTAGAAGACCGGAAGAATGGAGTCCCGGAAAAGCTGTTGACGAGAGAGCGAGTAAGAGATGGAGGATGGAAGGAGCTAATTGTAATAAAAACAAGTAAAAATTATAAAAAATGAAAAACAATAAAAAATGTTCAAAAAATCTACGCATCATTGTTTTAGTTGGCGGGGTGGCGGGCAGCAGTTCGGAATTAATTTGCTGATGGACGTGTGGAAATCCAGAACGCATCATTACAAATAGCTTCCTGGAGTGATTAGCTGGTTTGATGATGATAGGTATAGGCCTTTCTGCGGTTACGTGCTGCTCCCATCTGCTGCGGAATTGCTTTATCATCGAAGACATCAATAACGGTTTCGTCGTCCTTGGTTGTGTTGGTTGCATGCGTTTCTCGTTTCTGCCATTTATAGGGCGGTTTAGCCTCGTCGTTGGTGACCGCTTTGTGGTTGAGGTAAATTTGTGTTCTCTTGGCGGGTGGGGATGTCCAACATTTATTATGGTTTTTGGTATGATTTATCTTTCACTCGGATTCGTTTGGGGAACTAAGTTGTCTCCTCCTCTCAATGCTTTAATAATTATTTCGTTAATAACTCAGCTGCAAAACCTTTCCCTGTTGTACTTGACGTTCTGGACGCTAGATAAGAACCTCCTTTATCAAACTATGTGGTGCAAATAGCGCGAAATCTGTGCGCATAGCAGTGGTTATCAAACGAGAAAGTTGATGAAGAGAGTCGATCGAAGCATATAGGACCTTTTGAAATGTTCATTGATAAATGAGGAAACTATTCGTTCGAATTTCATACAAAATGATTATGGAATTTTACGAAAAGCATTTATTTTGAATTTCATACGGTACCCACTTAAAATCAAAATCTGTCCTCGGTGAAATATATTACCGCAACAGTTAAATAAAATTCAGAAAATTTGACGAAATTTCGTACCAACTATCCACGGCCCATACAAATTTTAATTTTTTTGTATGGACAATTGTTTATGCAGGGGGAGGGGGGGGGGGGGGGTCAAGAATCCCAAAAAACTGTCTGCGTAGTTTATGAACAGGCCCTAATAGCGGAGCATTTGGCTGGGTTTACTACCATTCTGTTTAACCTGCACCAACTAGCGAATACATTCAGCTGACGTTGAAGAAAGTGACAGTCAGCAATGGAGCAGATTTGTAGGAAGATTTTGAGGTCATCTGCATATGATATCCGAGGAGATGCACGTCGTTGAAGTACAGTATAAAAAATAACGGTCACATGTGGCTTCCCTGAGGTATACCTGATGTGGCGAAGAAGCTGGCTGATCTGCAATCTCCTATGGAAACCTTTAGTTGCCGACCGGTAAGATATGATCGAAACCAACTCAGAATATTACCGCATACACCGAGCCTGCCGAGTTTAGCGATCGCAATAGCATGGTTCAACTTGTCGAATGCTGCGGATAGGTCTGAATAAATAAGGTCCGTTTGAACCCGATCCGACATGCTTTCGGTTATATACGATGTGAGACACAGCAGATTGGTGGTTGTAGAGCGGCCGACAGTAAACCCATGTTGATCAGCACTCAAATACTGCTTGCAATGGGACAGCAACGGTTCCATAATCACTAGCTCGAATAGCTTCGAAACGGCACTTAACGATGTAATTCCTCGATAGTTATCCATAGCTCGTTTCCTTCCTTTTTTGTGGACGGGAAGCATGTGCGCAAATTTCCAGCAAGATGGAATTATGCCACTGGAGAGAGACATTCGGAACAGGCGAAGAAGCGGAATTAACAAGCTAGCAATATGTCTCTCCAAAAATACAGATGGAACTCCATCAGGTCCAGGATTGAAGGATGACTTGAGCAGAGTCGCGGCCTTAGAAATCATCTCTGCATTAACATCAATTGCACCCAGTTCTGAGGCATAACATCTCTGATCACGTCTTCCTTCGGATGGGAAGTAAAGCCGTTGGTCCCCGGTTCATGAGTTGATGGGTCGATAGGTAGGGTCCAGGTGTGGGAGCTGCCTTCCTGGCACGTCGGTAGTATTGGTGCTCAGCACGGAAAACAAGATCGACGGAAAAAACAAACCAAAGGAAAAAAAAAAAAAAAAAAATCAATTGCACCCAGCGTTTGATCATTTACTGAAACGTTCCTGGCAGCCAGGTGAATATGGTCGTCAGTTAGTATCTCATTAGTGAATACACTGGCAAACTTTTCGGAAAAAAGGTGGCATATATCCTGAACGGTGGCAGCAACTTCTCCGTTGAATTCCATAGACGATGGAAGGCCGGATTCCCTGCGTTGCTCGTTCACGTAGTTCTAAAAAGATTACGGGTGTAGCTTAAGTTTGCGCTGGATGCCTCGTTGGAAACTTGAAAAGCATTCACGACTGACTCGCTGGTAGGGAAACGCTCCTATATAGTTGCGGTACGTTAGAAGCGTTAGGTTTCTATAGTTGTGTACGGAGTCTCCATACACAACTATAGGAACCTAACGCTTCTAACGTACCGCAACTATAGGAGCGTTTACCCTACATGTGATTCAGCCTCACATAATGTAGTTTCAGAGGAAGCGTTGCAGTCTCCACGTCATCTGGATCAAGGATGTTCTCCCATACCATGCTAGACAATACATCTATGATGCTACGGTGGTCAGCTTTACGGAAGTCATAATAAACCGTAGCAGGATAGTCGTCGAAATCGCTCACGAGTTTGTCCTCAACAGTGACAATTAGAGGAGGGTGATGTGGAACTAGCTTAGTTAGTGCACAAGGAGCCGAGGAAATTGATGTAGCCCTGTCCTGTGTGCTCACGAAGTAGAGGGTTGAAATCGTAGAAATGGAGGACGTTTTACAAACAACGGGGAGAAAATTGTGCATGCTTTAGTTTCATTGGTTTCACTTAATCGTGGTCAGCAGCAGTTCAGAGAAAACCTGTTAGGGTAAACGCTCCTATAGTTGCGGTCAGCTAGCTGGCATCCCTATCTTGTTTGCCTTGCCTTGAAAAGAGCTAACATCGCTGCGGACCCGCGAATTGCGGGCCCCACTGACAGCTCATAATTTGTAAACAAATAGAAGATTCAAGCCAGAATTTCAAAAAAGGCGTGACTGATATTATGGATATTCTTAATATTTTTGCTTACATTTTGTGAAAAATAAACTTAGGACTCATAAAATATTATTTTCTGATTTTCTTCCACGAAGTCAACCATTTATATGGCATAAAAGGGAAAATAATTTCATTTGATAAAAATAAGACAATTCAGTCACGCCATTTTTGCAGTTCACACTGGAATTGTGACGTTTCAGATGTTGGTTTCAATAACATGGCGGCATGCCAGCCAGCTGGTTGCGGTACGTTAGAAGCGTTAGGTTCCTATAGTTGTGTATGGAGACTCCATACACAACTATAGGAACCTAACGCTTCTAACGTACCGCAACTATAGGAGCGTTTCCCCTACATGATTTTTTTTCGATAGACAAATTAATTACGATAAGTATTGTAGGATTGATAGCTAGATTGATAACCATTTTTAAGAGTCAGCGGTACTAGGTCAAATGAGTAATTCAATCGAAATTAAAATTTCTGTGCATTTTTGCATATACAGTGCATTTATAAGTATACATAGAACTCTCTAGAATTCGATATTTCCATCCCATAGGAAATCAACATCATAGTAGCCATGTCTACGTTTTAACTACTTTGAAAATCCGCATAGAACTCTTTACAGGATCTCTTTGGAATGTTGTCAGAGTTCTCTCCCAGAGAAGCTCTGGGATTTCCTTAAGGGGGTATTCCCAATCTTTTGCCTTTTTTCGGCCTGTTTTTCAATTATTTTTTTTTTTTCAAGGAAAATGAATAGTAATGCGCCTAACTCTTTGGGATTCTTGTTTATTTAACATTAAAGTTTACAAATAAATTTTTTTCGACATAAAAAAAGACATTATTGACGTCACAAAATGGCGGCAAACAGACCCCTGTTCGCCGCAAACGCCTGGACGGGCGAAGACTTTTCTCTGGAACGGCTTCATCTGAAACAGATTTCGTGATGAAATAATAATCTGCATAAGATTCTCTGGAGCTTCTCCCGTTGGCAGCAAAAAATCTAGCAAATTAACAAAATGGCGGCCATATGAAAAACAGGCGATTTTTAGCCCGCTTTTTTGCAGCTTTAAGGTGCTTCAAACAATGTTAAATGTTAATATTTTTGGCTGAAAGTGGGAGAAGCTCCAAAGAATTTAATAAGGAACAAAATGCGCAAAGATTCAAGTCAATATCTCTTATAGTTTCTGAGAAAAATCTTCGCCCGATAAAAAAAATGTGGTTTCGAGAAAAACGCGTTTAAAGTTTTGACTTTAGTTAAAACCATTTGGGGGTTCTTACCATTAGTCAGCTATGCCTGGACACCGAATTCGCTGATCGGAAAACGGCTTGGGGGGATGAAAGTATATAGTCTAAAGTACAAAAAAACGTGAAAAAAAAAATTTGATTTTTTGAAAAAAAAGATCGGGAATACCCCCTTAAGATTTTCTTTATATTAAAAGTTGCTGGAACGATTAAAGCCGAAGAGTTTCATTCCATCAACATGTTGCACACATTAGAGAAAATTTTAGAACTTGTTGTTAAAGACCAGCTGGAGTATTTAAATAGTAATAGTTTATGAAGAGCTTTGAGTGGGTTAGTTTATTTCCTTTAAATTCCGTTATTGCTTATCTTTTGACATATACGCGTATTTCGTCTACTACTTGCAGACTTCATCAGTGCCAAGTACTCAACACACAAAGCGCTTGATTGATCTTAACAATAAGGGCCTAGAAAAAGTTTCAAAATCGCATTTTACACAGCAAAAATCTTTACACTCCAAGTTATGTTTCCACTTCGCTAATACCAAATTAAACACGGTTTCACAAGAATGAGGGGCCTCATAGCCTAGTCAGTAAAGGCACGGTATTACCAAGCCAGAGGCGGCGGGTTCGATTCCCGGTCCAGTCGAGGGAATCTTTCGGGTTGGAAATTCTCTCGACTTCCCTGGGCATAGAGTATCATTGTGCTTGCCACACAATATACAAATTCATGCATTGGTATTGGCATCGAAAGCTCCTAATTAATAACTGTGGAAGTGCATTTAGAACACTACGTTGAGAGCACGCAATAAGCTAATATG